CCTCATGTAGTTGTTAATAGGCGAAATTAAGCACACGCTGACAGACTGTTGCCCGCATTCGAAATTATGCACGCTATTCAATTTAAATGGGCATTTGAATATTTTGGTTACATTTAGGTAGATTTTTAAATAATTGTTCCGTTTAACCGTTTTTTAACCGGTTCAACTGTTTGAATAGAACGGTTTTAGGTAAAGTGCACTCCGAAATTAGCAAAGTCACAAACCAGAAAGTACACAAAATCACCACCGCAAACTGTTTGCTGTGATAGTGCTGCCAGCTCATTGCACAAATAATTCTCGTAGGTGCTGCCAACTTGTTGTAAACGTATCAGCTGTTGCGTTTCGCGCCAAATTGAGCTGCAGCGCGCATCTGTGTGTGCGTGTTTAACTGCGACTGTTTTATTTTTTATTAAAAAAACAAAAAGAACTGACCCAGAAATATGAGCGAAACAGTTGCAGAAACTGCAACAGCAGCAGAAAATGATGAAAAAGCAAACGACTCCATGGAAAAGCTGCAACTTGACGATGAAGACGAAAAGAACGTGTCAGCCGAAGATATTTTGGGTGGAGAAGCGTTGGTAATGTCGGAAAGCGAAGATGATGAGACGCGTGTGCCAGCAGGTAAACAAATATCCCCCAAGAACAATGCCCAACGGATGCAGGACAGCGATGAAGAGCAAGATGAGGTGGAGAAAGATGACGCACCAAAGCCCAAGAAGAAAATATCAGCGATTATTGACTCCGACAGTGAACAGGAGGAGCAACTTAAGACACAGGAGGAGGATTCTAGGGCAGCAGCAAAATCTGGAAAAGAGAGACCCAATGATGATAAGGAACAAGAAAACAACGTGATTCATAAGCCCAAGAAAAAAGTGTCTGCTATTATCGACTCGGACAGTGAAGAGGAGGAGCAAGTTGAGGCGCAGGAGGATTCTAAAGCAGCAGCAAAATCTGAAGAAAAGAAGAACAGTGAAGACGAGGAACAAGAAAACAACGTGATTCATAAGCCCAAAAAAAAGATATGCGCGATTATTGACACGGACAGCGAAGAGGAGGAGCAGGAGCAACAGGTGGAACCACTGGAAGAGAAGGAACGCTCAAAACAAAAGAAAAAGAGCAAGAAACTGGATAAGAAAAAGAAACAGCGATTGGAAAGCGATGATGAGCAAAGTAGCCAGTCGAGCGATGAAGAAGCAAGCGATAAAGAAACACAAAATAAACTTAAAGGGATTGTGGATTCCGAGTCCGAGTCGGAGCACAATAACACAGTCGAACCGATGAACCTCCAGGAGACAAACGAGACCTCTTCAGAAAAGCCACATAAATCCAAGCCCATGCGAGTGAGTTAGGAATTGCCGAAGCAAGTGAACAATCTATACAACACATATAATCTCCCTTGCAGGCATCAGCCAAGAAGGCGCTAGATGAGATGCAGGCCATCCAAAGCGAGCAGCAGCGGCTGCATCGTGAGGCACACGTCAGCGTGCCATACCATCAGCCGAAGCCACGCACGCTCAAGGAGTTCCTGAGCCGGCGTACCATAAACAAGCCACTGGCCGTGGCCCTGGCCGGTGGAAGTCCCATGCCCAACAAAAAGGAGCCGAGGAGATCAATGGGCCTGCGCATGACCAGCGAAGAGTTGCAGGCGTATGCGTAAGTTACGGCCACCTAAACATCCATCAATTAAAGCCTTAACCACAAGCACGTTTATGCAGCAAGCTGATGGAGGAACGCGCCCAGGAGGCCACCGAGTTCTTCAAATCTGAATCAGAGCATGAAGACGACGATGAAGAGGAAAAACCAATTGCAACAGATGCGCTGGATATTGAAACAGATGGCGGAGAACAAACAAGCCAGCCAGAAGTCGATGACCATTTAGCACAACCGGAACCTGAGCCAGCCCATTCCGCAGATGTTGAGAGTGTCCTAGAACCCACTGAAGACGAAGCAATGATCATGGCAGAGGCTAAACCTATGTCAGAACCGATTTCACCCACTAAAACGAGGCTTGTAACTGAGATTGTGGAATTGCCCAAACTGGATTTGAGCACACTGAACGTTACACCACCTTCTAAGCCCTCTACGCCACGTATTAGCGAGGCTATACGACGCCTGAAGGACGAGAAGAGCAGCGATGTGAGTCCATCGCTGAAGGGAGATGCCAACATGGTCATTGACCTGGAAACAGGCGACATGTTCACTAAGAAGCCAACTGGTGTCGATGATTTGCTGCAACGTCTAATAAAGACACGTGAGGCCAAAAAGCACAAGACCACGGAGACTGTCAAGTAAGTAGGAGCACAGATTAATCAGTTTGAATGGTCTAAAGCTAAAATCTGTACAGCATCTTGTCCACTGCACATGGCAAACTGGAGCTGTCCAAGGTGAGCATCCATTTACACGAAGAGGAGCCTGTCAACAAGGAGCAGAAGCCGGGCGCAGCCTACCAGAAAATGCAGGAGCATCTAAAAACGTTGATTACCAAAAAGCGAATGGAGGAGCTACGCAAAAAGCAGGCTGAGGAAATGGAAGATGCAGTTGATGATGATAATGAAAACGAGGCTATGGATGTAGATGAAGATGAGGAATATGAACCAGCTGAAAAGCCATGCGAAAGCCAACTGATTATTAATGATGATGAGGAAATTGTTGGGGAGCAGCTGGAAGAAGATGCAGGTGATGATGAAGAAGCAGATGCTGAGCCTGAAGCTGCTGGTGGTGATGCTGAATCCGAACTGGAAGCAGCAGAGTCGGAGACAGAGGTAGCAGCGGAGCCAGCAGATCCAGAAGCAACAAGCAACAGCAGTAGCGACAGCGAACCAGAAGAGCAAACACAGACGGGCAAACGTAAGAATCGTATTATACGTGCATTCCAGGACGACAACTCCGACGAGGATGACGTCGATTTATTGCAGACACCAAAACCAAGCAATGTGGCGCCAATGACAGCCGCCCAGCTACAGTTATCCGCCCACAAGCTATTCGATACAGAAGTTGAACGTACGGCCAGCGATGAAGAGAATGAACTGCTAGGCTTGTGTTCTGGAAGATTTACCCAGTCCGACATGTCATCGGCGGCACCAACGTCTGGAGCACTTATTAGTCAAATACCTATAACACAAGCAACAGCAAACGATCAAGCACCCGATGAATTGGAGGCGCTATGTTCAGGTGCCTTTGAAACGCAACCGACCCCACTGCCTGAGCCGGAGACCAATCAAATCTTGTCCAGCGATGAGGAGCCAGCAGAACATACTGAGACTGAGAAGCCGCGAACAAAAAAGTTGACTAAGAAGCGTCAAAAGAAGAAGGCCAAATTGGGTTTCTCCGATGACGAAGAAAGCGAAGAAGATTCTGCTGATAATTTGGACGAGGAGCAGCCGGAAAGTGACGTAGAAGAGCCAGCAGATGTGCCAGAAACATTCGTCGACTATGATTCCGAGGAGAATGAAATTGTTGTCGAGATGACGAAAAAGGATCGCAAATTGCGTGCGGCCAACTTTGTGGAAAAAGAAGCTGAACTATCTGAATCAGAATGGGGTTCAGCTGATGAGGATGAGAAGAACATGGACAGATATGACATTGAGCTGGGTGACGAAGATCAGTTCGACCGCGAGAAGTTGCGTCACGAGCTGGGACAGATTCATGCGTAAGTACACAGCTACAAAAGTGCATCCAAGAATTGACTTTTAATTTGCAATACGAACATCAACAGCCGCAAAATGCTTGACCAGGATATACGCGAGGTGCGCAAGATTCAGGAGATGCTCTTTGAGGATGAAGAAGGTGCTGTACGTCAGCGTCAGTTTCGATGGAAAAATGCCGAAAACGGATTGGGTTTCAGCCTAGATGATCCACGCAAGGAGAACGCTGACGGTGAAGCCAACGAGGGCAGCGGCGATGAGGAGAACGAACATTTGTGGCGCAAGATTCGCTACGAGCGCGAACAGTTGCTGCTCGAGAAAGGACTGAAGGGGGTAATCACATGCTTTACTTGTAAACAACTGCCGGAACTCATGCAGAATGTAATTTTTATTAAAAGGAAGCAACAGGCAGCGGCTTGCCTCTATCCCCAGCTGTGGTTAACACCACTGTGCGCAAGCTGACCATTATAACGGCTAAAAAGACAACGGTGGAAGCGAAGAAGAGTTCACCATTTTTGATTTCAAAAAGCGTAAACGGTACACAGCAACAACAACAACAACAGCAGCGGGCGGTGCGTGGCTCATTCCTGGTACGGGACAAGGAGACACTCAGTAAACTGGCGGGTCTGACCAAAGGCGCAGCTGGCGATATGGACGGATCAGCGGGCACTGTTTCCGTTAAGACGGCCAAAGCCAAGAACTTTGTGTTTGCCACGCTAACCGAGGAGGAGCATGAGGTGTGTGTGTGTGTGTGTGTGTGCCACAATAGATTCCCATTCGCATTTCCACAACTCTCTTAATTTCTACCTTTGCAGAATCAAAAACGCAAAGCGGCAGATTTACTAAACAGCAGCAATGAGACGGGCGTTAATTTTATGAAAAAGCCGCGTCTGGAGCCGCGACGTGATAAGTGCCTTATCGATCAGCTGCTTTAGTGCAAACAATTAAGTTTTATTTAGCTGTAATTAAATATATAATTAAGTGTAAATTAAATATACATATTTTTAAATATTAACTGTTTACTGCTTACAACACTGTCAAACGGCAGCACAACCCCTGCGCTCGTTTTGCAACACTGTGCCGCTCTCCCAGAATTGTAAAAGAAAACGGCATTTGTTCTGGGAAGCGCTGGCATTGTTTAATGCAAATAACTTTTATTACTCATTGACTGAATAAACGCAAACCCAATTACCGTGCACTACAGCTGGGCGAATTAACAAAGTGGCATCAACGTCGTATATCACGACAAAGTGGGCGCGGGGACTGCGCTAATCTAATCTGGCGTCTAGCGTGTCGTCGAAATTTACGTTTGGACCGGTGTGCGGGTCAGTCAATCAGTCAGTCGCTGTCCAAAGACGCCGCTAGACGTGCGTCGCTGCCCCTTTCTGAAAGCATTAATAAATTAACGAAACAAAAACAAAATACAAAATACAAAATGGTGTCACAATCGAAACTAAGCCAAGTGTTTAGCTACCAAAACTGGGTACATGCCGTCTCGGGCGCAGCCGTAAGTATTGCCCCAAAATGGTTGTACGAAAGTCCAAACTCCAATATGCTAAACAAATTTCAATCAAATACTCGCACAGGGCGGCTGCATAGCTATGAGCACATTCTACCCGCTGGACACGGTGCGCTCCCGCTTGCAATGTAAGTTGCGGTATTCCCGGCTAATCAAAAATGGGCTCGATAAGCTCGCATGCGGACGTAGATAAACATTGGACGAGTTCAAACTCCAATGCTGTTTAATTTGATATTCAACTGATATCAGGTGGTAATCCGTTTCATGCCCTCTTTACTTGCAGTGGAGGAGGCCGGCGAGGTGCGCAGCACAAAGCAGGTTATCAAGGAGATTGTGCTGAATGAAGGCTTTCAGGCTTTATACCGTGGACTTGGTCCAGTGCTGCAGAGTCTGTGCATCTCGAATTTCGTCTACTTTTACACATTCCATGCGCTCAAAATGGTCACCTCGAACGGCGCGCGCGGACAACAGAGTGCCCTAAAGGATCTGCTGCTGGGCAGCATAGCTGGCATCATCAATGTGTTTACGACAACCCCCTTTTGGGTGGTCAATACACGTTTGCGCATGCGCAACGTTGCCGGCACCTCCGAGGAGGTTAACAAGCACTACAAGAATCTATTGCAGGGTCTTCAGTATGTGGCCAGAACTGAGGGCCTGACCGGCTTGTGGTCGGGCACAATACCATCCCTGATGCTAGTCTCGAATCCTGCGCTGCAGTTCATGATGTACGAACTGCTAAAGCGAAACATTCTGATATTCACTGGCGGTGAAATGGGTAGCCTGAGCTTCTTCATAATTGGCGCCATCGCCAAGGCATTTGCCACAGTGCTCACATATCCGCTGCAGCTGGTGCAGACCAAGCAGCGTCACCGCACCAACGATGCGGCCAACGGACCAACAACCTCCCAGCAGGCGGGCAAGCCAAAGACGCCATCCATGCTAGAGCTCATGGTCGGCATACTGCAGCATCAGGGCATCGGCGGCCTCTTCCGCGGCCTTGAGGCCAAAATTCTACAGACCGTATTGACGGCGGCGCTTATGTTTATGGCCTATGAGAAGATAGCCGGCATCGTCAAGCTGCTACTTAAGCGCACAGCTTAAGAGGATATAGTCTAGTCTAGCTACAATAGTTTAGCTCTTAACACAACATGACATGGCGATGGATATTGATGCGGACACGGACACGGATACGGAAGTACACGTACACGCACAGACTCCAAAGTTAACCAATAAGCGTGAATGTTTATCCAATAAGAAAGCACACATGATTTAACAAAATTATTAGTAAATTTTATTAGTTAGCAGCGACAACAGTCTCAATAGATTTCGTTGAATTCTCAGCGGGCGTCTCAGGCTCAGCGTCTTGCGCCCCTGACTCCTTGTCTTCCTTCTGCTCGTCAGATTCGTTGGTCTTTATTTCGCCTTCGGCACTTGTCTTCTGTCCACTGGCATTTGCCAGCTCTGATAGATTGTATCTCTTGAATTCCAAGTAGTTGTCAATGACGCTGAGCAGGCAAAAGCCTCTCAGTACCTCGACAACGATGGACTTCTTGGCGTTCTGCAGATCAACCTTGTTGCCCATATTCTTGGAATTGACCAGTTCGGCCAGTTCTTTGATTATGGGTTCACGTTTGATTTGGTTATTGTAGCGATGATTGAATATGATGCCATATGTGGTGGGCTCCTTGAGAAAGTGTTTGTCGAACAGCGCTCCGGCTGTGTTGATTATGTCCGGCATATTGGAACGGCACACAGCCTCGATGGGCACCATGCGTAGCACAAAGCGTGACATGGCCTTGCCCGTTGCAGTTATGTCCTCAACGATATGTTTGCCAAGTGCCAGTGGATCCTCCAGTTGGGTGCGTATAAATATGCAATTGGTCGTGCCAGTATCAACGTTTTGGAAGCGTAATTTGCGTTGTTCGAAAATCTCGCGACATTTGGCCACAGCCGCATCCACGTCATCGCTATCGTCACCGCCACCATCCTTGACAGCTTCAGCATCTGCATCCTGTTTACTGGCCACCTCCGGGCCGTACAGCTCGTCGGCATAGTGGTTCAGCAGATTGTAACATTCGCGCACACATGCCTTTTCATTCATGTTGCAAGTGACCAGGAAACCGCGTTGGCCAGCCTGCAGAAACTGTTTCTTGCTTTGCTGGAAGTACTTCTTTTTGTTTTGTTTGAATTTATTATTAACCATCTTTGATTTTTTTGTGGCTGGCTCCATAATCCGTTCGGCAGAATAAATGGAAATATTTTTGTAGCCGGTGCGCAATGGGACCAAATCCAAACAGACAGCGCAACACTAGTTTAAAAAAATACCAGCAACAGTATGTTTAATACTGCAAAAAGCACTGCTGCACAACACTGAAAAACGAACCGAAATCAGCTGATTGGCAGCCGTTTCAAATTGCGGTACCGCAAAAGCCGGCTTTGAGCATTTTAACCTGCCAATGGGTGCAGTTGAGGCATCTTTGCTGGAGCTCGCCAAATTACTGCCTCGGTTTGAGGACATAGTAGAGCTGCTGGAAAACGAAGTTGAAGCGCGTTACATACTCCGGCGAGCAGCAGATCACTTTGCCAAGCGACAAGCGATCGACCAGTTGAATAGGCCGGAGGAGGAGGAAATTTCATATCTGATACACGCGTTGGTTGACAAGAACTGGGAGCGTATACATAGTGGACACTTCAGCTCTGTGCCGCTGACGATACGCAAGATCTATGCACTGGGCTGCTACTTCAAGGTGATAAAGGAAATATTAAAAGTAGCTTAAGTACAATTTCTAACATCGCAGCAGATTTTCTTTTTGCTGCTGGAAAACCCAAGCTTGGAACAACGGGAACTATGCGGCACAGTCTTGGACGAAGCTCAGCTGCTGGGCTGCACGGAGGAACTGTACGAAAAGTGCACTGAATTAAAGCACGCGCTGATGCAGTACCTGGACGAACGTGCCACAAGCAACAACTCATTGCCGCTGCCCATTTTGGCGGCTGTGGAGAGACGCGCGTCACGCTGTGATATACCCCAACTGGAGGCACCTAGCATACTGGAATTTCGCACGAGCTGCTATCAGGCGCTGCAGCCCACGCTGCTGCTCAACACGATTAATCATTGGCCCGCATTGAGTAAATGGCGCGATTTGAATTATCTATTGAAAGTTGCCGGCAATCGCACCGTGCCCATCGAAATAGGCAGCAATTACGCCAGCGATGAGTGGTCACAGCAGCTGGTGAAGCTACGTGTCTTTCTGCACAGGCAGTTTGGCCCAAGCAATGGCCGTGCCGATCACGAAATTGAGTACCTGGCGCAGCACGAGCTTTTTGCCCAGATACCAGCACTGAAGGCGGACATTTGTGTGCCCGACTACTGCACTGTGTCCTCCAATAATGCAGCCGGTGTCGATATCAAAGCCTGGCTAGGACCTAGCCACACCATATCGCCCATGCATTACGATCCAAAGCACAACTTGTTGTGCCAAGTTTTTGGCTGTAAAAGCATTATACTGGCATCGCCAGAAGACACAGCGAATCTTTATGCACACGAGAGCGAGTTTCTGAACAACACCTCGCAAATTGATGCAGCCAAACCGGACTTTGAGCGCTTTCCCCTGCTGCGACGTGTACGTTTCTATGAGCTGCTGCTGCAGCCCGGCGACTGTTTATATTTGCCGCCTAAGTGGTGGCATTACGTGCGCTCCGAGACACCCAGTTTCTCAGTTAGTTTTTGGTGGGAATAGGTGTCTATAGGTGTTGATAAGGTGTGTCACGAATGACGTCAGCTAAGAAGACGTGAATCATAAGCTTCTTGAGTTTTGAATATTAATATAAGATAGAGTTTTTTTATTATTACTTTTAGAGCCAACAAATTCCTGGCTGCGGCAAACAATTTTGAAAGTTTACGAATTAATACAAAGATTACAAGCTTGAGAACTTCGAGATAATAAACAGTAAATCGTTATCGATAACGTGTGTTGTGTACTAAGAACTAAGCTTTTATTGTTTATGGGTGCGTGTGTGTGTGTGTGTTGGGTTTGTTATGTTGCAAATTTATAATCTCCCATAATCTTGAAATATTTCCATTTGATGCCTTCGCCCCGAACGCCATGATTAAGTCTTATCGTTCTTTAAATGTTTATTTTTTGCTCGCACCGAGCGCCTACACGCTTAGTCATCCTTGTTGGACGCACCGCCGACTGCTCCAATTGTGATTTGTTTCTGCAGCTTGCTGTATTCCTCGGTGAGCCGATCGTATTCACGGTTCAAGCTCTCCGCCTGCGACTTGACTGCTTCCTTATCCTTCTTTTCGCGATTCAAGTCGGCGGTCAGCTCCTGGACGCGTTCCCGCAGCTTGTTGAGCTGGAAAACGAGCTTGTTGTGAGTATTGGCCACGCAGATATGGAGTATTTAAATTTTGTGTGTTTGTGTGTGGAGAGATTCTGATATTGGGGAATGTGCTCGGAAAACTTAGTATACTCTGGCGGTGAGTCCTTGCACACGTTTCCGCAGCCTTGACAACTGTTCAAAGAGTTTACGAGAGAGTTTTACTTGGTTTATCTCTATGCTGGCCCAACACTTTCCATGCGGGTATCAACAACAAATTGCCTGGATTGTACAGCTGGTAGTAGCAAACGGTCTAAGTGTTAGGTGGGGGCCGTTGGATACTTGCAAAGCTCTTTAAACATGCCTCGGCTTGACCATGTGCAAAAACTCTAAACGCCAACTATTCAAAACTCTAGGAGCCTACTCACCTCATTCAGTGTGGTATCCTCGGTGGCCTCCTTGGCCTTGTCGGTCTTCTCGTTGATCAGGGAGCGTGCTGCGGCAGTGGCGCTCTGGGCCTGCTTCATGGAGGCCTCGCTCTGAGCCAGCAAATTGGCCTGTGCCGAAATCAGTGTGACCAGACGACGGATCACAAGAACAAGGAATATCGCAAAGCCGGAAATGTAGAAATTGCGCTGTGCGCGAAACAGTCGCATGCTGTGCTGCATCTCAACGTTAAGATGCACCTCACCGGAGTTCTCATGGTTGGAATACTTGCGCATTTCGCGAATAGCCTCCAACAGGAACAGCACCAGCACACCCATAATTAGGAAAAAGTATAGATGCGCCTGCTGTGCCAGCATAGACAGGAATTTGGATTTGAAGAAACGATTCCATTTGTACGGTGAGAAAAGGGGTAGCACCAGCAGCATAACCACTCCAATTTCTGCGTACAGAAAAGTGGCGATCAAAGTCCACACCAAACTCATGTTTGCGAATTTTTTTCTCCAATAAAAAGTTGAAAGTTTGTTCGTTTGTGTTTGCTCGCTTGACGTTTTGTGCGCTGCAAAGAATTTTTTCGATATTAGTATGAAATACACACGTTCAGTTGGGCTATGTGGCTATTTATAAACGAGTACCGTAAATTGGCTTACTTTAAATAGCTATAGAAATTAAAATACAGCTGCATATGATGAAATATGCGTATTTCTATGCGGTCATGCACGGCCACGTCAACTCTGCAGACTTGTTTCCGAACAGCTTTTGCAACAAGTTGGCAGCTCCCCAATTTGCTTGTAAACAAAAGCGAACAGCTGACAGCCCTGGTTGCCAGGCAAAACTAAATGTGCTTTTGCGCCATCGATCAAATTCAGTTTGTTATTTATTTCATTAGTAGTTGCCATAGACAAAATGTCCTACGAAAATTGGTTGAATTATCTGCAATCAGCCGAAAAGAATTCAATGATTAGCGGCAAGCTGCGTAAAGTGCTCTACAAATTCCCGGATGGCCGGCAAATGGCCGAGGAGTACAATATGGATACGGGCGTTGTGCAAAGACGTGCCTGGCGCAAATGCAAACAACTAATGGGCGAGCCCGAATGGGAGATAGAGCTTGGTGAGGAGCCACGCCAACTCAATTTTGCTGCCGGCAACAAGCCAAACCCGGCTGGCGGCGGCGATGCAGACAACATGGCTGCCGGCGAGTTTACACTGCGCGAAAGCAATACGGCTCCATTGCTGACCAAGCGGGTGACCAAGAAGAACATCGAATGGCGCATACGTAATCTACCGTATCCGATAGATGTCTACAATGTCCGTGCAGATGCTGAACAACGTGCGATCATTGTGCGCACTAACAACAAGAAGTACTACAAAGTTATTCCTGTTCCTGAGCTGGATCGTTGCAGCATACCGCCGGTCCAAGCAAATATCAGCACACATCATCAGTTCAACACACTCATCATTACCTACCAGAAGCCGGCCATTCTGTGCGAAATGGAGGCGCAGGTACTGCTATTGCTAAAGAACGTGGAGACGGAGACAGACATGGACGATCTGCTAAAGGGTTTGCTGGCCAAATAAAACGCACAGCATGTAAAATACATACAAACTATTATCTTTACATATAATTATCACGAGCTTAGGGAGCTACTTTTGAAAACTTTCGGCCAAGCCGATATAGCTTGCCAGCGACGGAGCCGATGAGCTGGTAAACAATGAATAATCAAATGATGGCAGCTCCAACGGAGTCAGGGAGGGCATATCGTGTTCTGAGCTTCGCTCCAGCATGGAACGGCTGTCGTATTCTTGACCGTCCGACTGTGGATCGCTGTTGGCCATGGCCTCAACTTTGAGTTCAACTAACGCAGGCGTTGACACTTTGCGCTCAATAGTGGACGTGAATTTGGCATCAAAGTCCTGCACGGTCTTATCGATGGCTTTGGCCACGGACTGAGCTGAACCCACGCCATGCTCGGGACGCAGTGGTAGCATGGGGCTGGTTTCCTTAAGCTGCCCGAAATCTTTCAGCTTTGTTAGCCCATGTTGGGTCTTACGCATCTCGATCTGCCGCAGCTTGCGCTGAAAGTCAAGCGTCAAGGTGTCCAGCACCTCCTTCGATTTTGCCAGTTGTACGTTCTTATATGCATCCTGCAGGTATATCAAAGATGTCTCTAGCGCTTTTATGGCCTCTTCGTAGCGATGGTGACGCATGAAGCGCTCTGAGCGTCGCTCATGGAAATGCGCCTGTAGACATTAACACACACAGATTATATATATATGTAGAAAGTCGTTTAATATTATTTTTATTTACCAAATTTAGCGGTGCACAGTCCATGATTTATTTTTTTTTGGTTTTATTTACCTGCGCAGTATGCCACCTGCTTGGCAACTCTGCAGCACAGATAATTAATCGATAACTTATCGATACATTGAAAAACTATTCAAATTTGTATAAGTACAAGATTTAATAATAGGTCAATATTTGTATAAAGAAAAAATAACACTACAGCGCCTTAGCATTAGCTTGTTTACCCTCGGTGAGTGCTCGTGATGCATGCACAAAAACGGGCACGTTTATGCCCTGAAATTATTATTGGATTGTATACTAAAAACAGAGATTTGTTTTGGCCCAAATACGTTACCTGCATCTTTGCTGACCGCACAAATGCCTTGTTCGACGTAACTGTAAATATTTTACGTGCCATGCCAAAGCTGAATATCTTTAAGCTACGCTCATTCACGTTGGCCGTAAAGCGTAAATTGGAAAACTCTGGGGGTATCGTCTCCACATCCGGATACACTGTTACCCGCTTCATGAGCTCGTTAGCAAGCGCCCGCTCACTGGGCCCGCCCAATACACTGAGAATATTTTGAAATGCATCGTTGGCCAATTGGCAACAGACCAGTCGCTTGCCTTGAAATATTTTATCAAGTATGGGTTTAACTGGACACTCGCGCTCCTTTTCGGCTTGTTCGGTCAACAGAGGCTCCTTGAACACAAAATTGCAGCCACCATTTGTGAGAGCGCTGACGTATGCCAACAATGTTGTCACATCCAAATTGAGTTCGTTCGATATGGTGGCATACTGATCCACATCCAGGTCGGGCTCTTCCAGTGATGCCGTTTGCACGCCCATTTCTTTGAGCTCATCGTGCAACGAGCTATCTATTTTGTTGGAGAAGTAGAAGACTACCTGCAAGGCATTTGAATTGCATTAATCGACAAGTTAGTTACGCATTTCGCATTCACCTTGGGCCGTTGGAACATGCAAAAGTGTAGCTCGCTGGCTTCCAAGTAATCGCTGGCTTGATCCAGGACGCTGCGGGCGCCAAAGCTGACACAGCCCTTTGCCGCATCTTCGATGGACTTGGAGTTGCGCGCTATAACCTTAATCCATTTTAGACCGTTATTGGCAACAATATCCACACGCAACGGACTGTCACGCGATTCGAGCGGAAAGACTGCGTTTATATCGACGACTCCTTGCTGCAGGCGCAGTGTTTTAATAAGGAATTCATAATTGACAAAGTTGCTGCTAGTTATGTGATTCTCCTTTAACGTCTTGGTACGTATCACCTGCACATTAATCGGTGTTACTAGCTGTTTATAGACATTTTAGTATCATGGAACAGTCAAACCTTTTCCAAGAATTTAAGTTCCTGCTGGATTTTCCTTTGCACTTTTGAAACCCCAGGTATTTGCTCGAATTCGACCAGTGATTTCTTAAGCTCCTCCCCTAGCCTTATTTTATCATTGGCATCTGCATACAGAGCGTCCTCCATCTCCATTGCCACCTGCTGAGTTTAAGCGAGCAATTTTTTTTATATTCAATATTATTGTTATCGGTCAGCTGTTCGTTCAGGGCTGCCGAACCGGACAATATGAATATTGTTATCGAAGTGCTTGCAACTCTGCTCAAAGCAACTCTACAAAGAGCAACTCTGCTCAAAGCAACTCTACAAAGAGCAACTCTGCTCAGAGTGCTGTCAAACGCCGACATTACTCACTTCCTTCCACTTTTTCTACGCCGGTGAAGCCAAGCGGTTGTTATGTGGTATGACGCCGTTTATGTGAAGTGAAAAAACTTAATCTGAACGCATCATTGTTAAAATGTGTAAAATAATTGAATAAAATAGCAAAAGGTAATAATCTTTGTACCAAACTATATGAATTTGTTAATATTTAAGTGATAACTGTGCACGAAGGTATCTCCAGAACAGCAGAAATGTCTGTGGTTTGGTCGCATTTTTTAACCGTGCAAAGATTAAATAAATACTGCTTACTAGCATCGTTGGGCGACACGAGCATCTTACTGTGGCCCTGGTTTTATTAAAGTAGTACAATTACGCCAAAAAAAATCTATTTTCTGCATAAAAAATGTGTCGATCGTTTCTAACCTCAACTTAAAAAATTTTTTCCGTAGGCTTAAAATAGTACAGCATCGACATGTACCTGTATAATTTGACGCTCCAAAAAGGCACTGGCGTCACCCATGCGGTGCACGGCAACTTTTCGGGCGGCAAGCAGCAGGAAGTGCTACTCTCACGTGGCAAGTCGCTGGAGCTGCTGCGGCCCGATCCGAACACCGGCAAAGTACATACGCTGATGTCGACGGAAATCTTTGGCTGCATACGTGCGCTTATGGCCTTTCGTTTAACAGGAGGCACAAAAGGTTGGTTTCATTTGTATATTGTATATTATGTATGTGTATGTATGTTTTACGCACAGAATCCAATTGGGGGCAGCTCTGTGGTTGTGCCCAGTTTGACATTATTTAACGTGTCTAAGTGCGATATTAATCCAACTTGGCGTCGCATTTGCCATAACCCCAATCACATGGTATGGCGAACTGAAACTTCGAGTAACAAGATATTCTAATATGCAAAAAGTACAGTTTTATACATTCCTTTATAATATTAGTTCTTCGATTTCTCTTCTCATAGATTATATCGTCGTGGGCTCGGATTCTGGACGCATTGTAATTCTGGAGTATATCCCCAGCAAGAATTCGCTGGAAAAGGTGCATCAAGAGACATTCGGCAAGTCGGGCTGTCGTCGTATTGTGCCTGGACAGTACTTTGCCATTGATCCAAAGGGTCGTGCAGTGATGATTGGTGCCGTTGAAAAACAAAAGTTGGCATATATCATGAATCGAGATACCCAGGCCCGACTTACCATATCTTCGCCACTGGAGGCACACAAGTCCAACACCCTGACTTACCACATGGTTGGCGTGGATGTTGGTTTTGATAATCCAATGTTTGCATGTCTGGAGATCGACTATGAGGAAGCTGACTTGGATCCATCAGGTATGATTAGCCGTACCATCTGAATATCCTTCGTACCCTTGGCGCCTAAATGTTCGGTGGCTATGGCTAATCCTCCATAGACACTGTTTTGTAACTGAGCGCTAGATAAATGTGACCACTGAACCATTGGTGCTGCTGTTATTACCTAGCAGCACTTCACTGATTTGTGGCCCACATTCTATTCAAGTTTATTGTATTTTGCTTCTCTAAACAATTTTTTATTATTTTGCAGGTGATGCTGCCCAACGCACACAACAAACTCTAACGTTTTATGAACTTGACTTGGGCTTAAATCATGTGGTGCGCAAGTACTCGGAGCCACTGGAAGAGCATGCAAATTTCTTGGTTTCTGTGCCCGGTGGGAATGACGGACCCTCCGGTGTACTCATTTGCTCGGAGAATTATCTGACTTATAAGAATCTGGGCGATCAGCACGACATACGTTGTCCCATACCACGTCGACGCAATGATCTAGATGATCCGGAGCGTGGCATGATCTTTATATGCTCTGCAACACATCGCACCAAGAGCATGTACTTCTTTTTGCTGCAAACCGAGCAGGGTGATATATTTAAGATCACCCTCGAGACGGATGACGATGTGGTGTCTGAAATAAAACTGAAGTACTTTGATACAGTGCCTCCCGCGACGGCAATGTGTGTGTTGAAGACTGGTTTTCTATTTGTGGCCAGCGAATTTGGCAACCAGTAAGTGCAGAACTGATTTTTGAACTTTTGTCTAAGCTTTGCTAACCTGCTCTATGCTTATAGCTATCTGTACCAAATTGCACATCTGGGCGACGACGATGACGAACCCGAATTCAGCTCTGCTATGCCACTGGAGGAGGGTGAAACCTTCTTTTTTGCTCCACGTGCATTAAAGAATCTCGTCTTGGTCGATGAGTTACCCTCGTTTGCGCCGATTATCACCTCACAGGTGGCTGATCTGGCAAATGAAGATACACCGCAGTTGTATGTGCTTTGTGGGCGTGGACCACGCTCAACACTTCGTGTACTGCGTCACGGTCTTGAGGTATCGGAGATGGCTGTCTCTGAGCTGCCCGGCAATCCAAATGCTGTGTGGACTGTCAAGAAACGCATTGATGGTGAGTTAAGAACAAGGATTTATTTATCTTTGCGCTTGTTAAGTTTAGGCCTTAAGTTTGCTAGCAATGAAATGTTTCTAATAATTCAACTGGTGCATTGATGATACTGAACACGATACCCCAAGATAAACAATGATATTGCTATATATAGTTTGCACTAGGATTGTTGATTTCAAACAATTTTACTAAAATACATTTAAAAACTTCTTGTACTATACGCATTGTGGCAATATGGTCAGCAATAAGTACTTACCGACATGTGAAGAAGAAAGTACCAACAATCCTAGTCTATATAACTATATATAAACCCGATCCAAAAGCCACAAGTTATCAACCACCAGTTCTCTCTTATTTCAGGCGCTTAAACACAGACGTCAACTGTTTGTTGTGTGTGACTATCGAACAGATATAAAAACGAATGTAATCCAATACACTCGTGTAAAATACTTATAATTTATATTTGTCTTTTGTGAAGCGATAGGTAAGGCAACATTACTGCAGCTCTTAAGTCAACAGATACTACAAAATGCTACTACATATGATTATTGAAATTTAATTTTAAGCTTAGACATTGAACATGATGTGATTACTTATCAACCGTGTTTCAGCTGAATTCTCCATTGATTACAAATTGATAACCTGATTATTCAATGTCGTAAAATTCCCTACAATTTGTGTACTCTTATAAGAATCTTTTGACTGATGACAAATTCTTTTGTGTTGTGCTCCTACTTTTAGACGAATTTGATGCCTATATTATCGTTTCCTTCGTGAATGCCACACTGGTTCTGAGCATTGGTGAAACCGTTGAGGAAGTGACGGACAGCGGCTTTTTGGGCACCACGCCAACATTGTGTTGTGCTGCGCTCGGCGACGATGCTCTGGTGCAGGTGTATCCAGATGGCATTCGTCATATACGATCCGATAAGCGTGTGAACGAGTGGAAAGCGCCCGGCAAGAAATCCATTACCAAATGCGCCGTTAATCAACGTCAAGTGGTCATAACGCTGTCTGGTCGTGAGCTGGTCTATTTTGAAATGGATCCGGTAAGCAGTTGATATTGAGACAATCAAAGAGAAAAGATAGTTACAGTGGAGCGAGATATGTATGTCCGTAATCTGTAATTGGCTTTTCTCTCCTCGAAATTGCGCTGATGACAAAAACACGAAAAAGAACAATCATGTTGAGACACTATGTGTCCTGCAGTGCTGAGCATTTGTTAGACAATGTATTGTCTTATTTCTTTAATAACCCTTTCTGGGCTAATTACTAACATGATCAAATTCATTTTTTTTACAGACTGGTGAGCTAAACGAATATACGGAACGTTCAGAAATGCCGGCCGAGATAATGTGCATGGCTTTGGGCACGGTGCCGGAGGGCGAGCAGCGTTCTTGGTTCTTGGCTGTCGGTCTGGCTGATAACACTGTGCGCATACTTTCGCTGGATCCGAATAATTGTCTGTCGCCATGCTCTATGCAGGCTCTGCCCTCGCCAGCCGAGTCACTGTGTCTGGTCGAAATGGGTCACACAGAGAGCACCACCAATGCTGGTGGTGCGGATGATGATGTGCCGGCACAGCGCAGCGGTGGCAGCAATAAAGGCACCATCTATCTGAATATTGGATTAAGTAACGGTGTCTTGTTACGTACTGTGCTGGATCCCGTGTCTGGTGACTTGGCGGATACGCGCACACGTTACTTGGGTTCGCGACCGGTGAAGCTGTTTCGCATTAAAATGCAGGGCGCCGAAGCCGTGTTGGCTATGTCCAGCCGTACTTGGCTGTCCTATTACCATCAGAATCGTTTCCATTTGACACCGCTGTCGTATGAGACGCTGGAGTATGCCTCGGGCTTTTCCAGCGAGCAGTGCAGTGAGGGCATTGTGGCTATTTCGACGAACACATTGCGTATCCTGGCGCTGGAGAAACTGGGCGCTGTCTTCAATCAGGTGGCCTTTCCACTGCAGTTTACGCCGCGCGCCTTTGTCATACATCCGGATACGGGTCGGATGCTAATTGCCGAAACAGATCATAATGCTTACACTGAGGATACTAAGAATACACGTAAAGAACAAATGGCCGAGGAAATGCGTAGCGCTGCCGGTGACGAGGAGCGTGAATTGGCCAGAGAAATGGCCAACGCTTTCATCAATGAAGTGCTGCCCGAGGATGTGTTCTCTGCACCCAAGGCAGGCCTGGGTCTGTGGGCTTCGCAAATACGTTGTCTAGATGCCATGCATGGCCAGACGATGTTCAGCGTGCCGTTAACACAAAACGAGGCCATAATGTCTATGACGCTGCTTAAGTTCTCCGTTGCGGCAGATGGTCGTTATTATTTGGCCGTGGGCATCGCCAAGGACCTGCAGTTGAATCCACGCATTTCGCAGGGCGGCTGTATTGATATCTACAAAATAGATCCAACCTGCTCAGCTCTGGAGTTTTTGCATCGCACCGAGATCGATGAGATACCCGGCGCATTGTGTGGCTTCCAGGGTCGCTTGCTGGCTGGCTGTGGCCGCATGCTCCGCATCTATGATCTTGGCAAAAAGAAAATGCTGCGCAAGTGCGAGAACAAACACATTCCTTACCAGATTGTCAACATTCAAGCGATGGGTCATCGCGTCTACGTATCGGATGTGCAGGAGTCTGTCTTCTTTATACGCTATCGTCGCGCCGAGAATCAACTAATTATATTCGCCGATGATACCCATCCGCGTTGGGTGACGGCCACTACACTGCTTGATTATGATACCATTGCAATTGCTGATAAGTTTGGAAATTTGAGCATTCAACGCCTGCCACATTCTGTCACCGATGATGTAGACGAAGATCCCACCGGCACCAAGTCGCTCTGGGATCGCGGCCTATTGTCGGGCGCCTCGCAAAAGTCGGAGAACATTTGTTCATTCCATGTGGGCGAGATTATCATGTCGCTGCAGAAAGCCACGCTCATTCCTGGTGGCTCAGAGGCACTCATCTATGCCACATTAAGTGGCACTGTCGGCGCCTTTGTGCCGTTTACCAGTCGCGAGGACTATGACTTTTTCCAGCACCTGGAGATGCATATGCGCAATGAGAATCCCCCCTTGTGCGGTCGCGATCATCTCAGCTACCGCAGCTCTTATTATCCGGTAAAGAATGTCCTGGACGGCGATCTGTGCGAGCAGTATTTATCTATTGATGCAGTGAAGCAGAAGAGCATTGCTGGCGACATGTTCCGCACGCCGAATCAAATCTGCAAGAAACTGGAAGATATACGCACCCGTTACGCGTTCTAATTAGGTGAGTGGGGCTTAAAATATATGAGTGGGAGATATGTTATCTGATGATATAGTAATTACCTTGGGACACCTATGAAATATGCCTTGATTAGTGTAAATTTTATGAAACTGAAACTGAAATTATGTGTATACATAGATGATAGATGTTACTCAAATATTAATTGTCGTTTATTATTATTTTTGCAGTTAATTGTCGATGCGGAATCGCTCTCATCATTACGTACTTCTTTTTTAAGGTGAGTTTTGTTTAATTACAACTTTTTTTTTTTTTAAATTACATTGTGATGAGCTAAGTTTTTACCTTGGGACACCTATGAAATGCCTTGATTAGTGTAAATTGATAATTGCTGAATTTCAATTGAACTAAAAATGGAATTGTTTATTGAACAATATGCAACTATTTTAATAACTTGCTCTTAATTATTTGCAGTCTTATATACAACCCATAAATTACGGATCTCGCAAGCGGAACTCACTTGCAAAAATTAAAAGTAAATATAAAAAATTAAATATTCAAAGAATTAATGCTTTACTGTGATGCTTTTTACATATGTTAGACTAATGAAATAATTTGATTGTAAATGAATTACTGAGTTTACAATTTGAAATTATTTTCAAGTCGAAATGAAAATCGAACGCAAACTAAAGTCAATTTCTGTTCCTTTTTACGCAGCTCTTGCGCTTTGGATCCTTTGGGTAATCGATCAAGTAACTTAAATATTAACTAGGTAAAATAATTGAAATCAAATTAACATGAAGCTGAAATTTGCTAATTTGATTCTTTTATTCCATTGCAGTTTATATGTGTAATTATTTGTATTTAAGCGTAATATGCACATAATACACACAATACACAACCACTAAATGACTGCCTATTTATACTACATTTAATTTGTTGCACAAATTCAAACATTTGTGCAACAAATTTAATAGCCACACACGCTATGTAATTTAAGCCTGATATTATAATAATAATAAATGTACACAAAGCACAAAAGTGGACTGTAATTTAAATATACCCGTTTGTGCCTTGTTAGTAATGATGTTTGGCTAGTTCTTGTTCTTGGCCTTGTTACGCGGCACACTTTACCGTTGTGTTCGCTGTGGCATGCCACGAATATATATCTGCTAAACGTCTCGTTTTCTCTGCTCATCTCTCTCTCTCTCTCTCTTTCTGTAGCAATCAAATTGTTGTAATTTGTTATGTACAGAGTTATAAGCACACGGCAGTTATGCAAATTACGTGCCTCTAACACAGACGTGGACAACGGCGGTGGTCGTCGTCGTCGTCGACGCTGGCCAAAAGAGGTCATAAAACAAGCATCCGCAAAGTGTTCCACATTGTTGATCTACGGATGGATGAGGAGGGGGTATCATCAACTGGCTGACTGGCGCTGCGGCATCTGGCTAAACGATTTATTAACTTCATTTCTAGATCATTAGATCGCATAACATCACTTGTGTTTGCAACTTTTTGTTGCACATTTCCAGAACGTGAGCAACACGCAAGCGTGCAACAACAACAGCAATAACAACGAGTAGCAGCCGTCTCTAGGCTGCAGCTACGCATGCAATTCATGCCACATGCAGCTGCAGCTTGGCGATCGCGCCATCGATAAGCACAATCAACGCTTGGCGCAAACACTTGCCACATGTTGCCTGCTGCGCCCTAATACAAACACGCCCATTTTTTTGTTTGGCCTGGAAGCTGTTGCCTTTTGTGGAATGCGTTCAGCAGCGACCAAGCAAATGAGATGCCCAGTTGCAGATAAAGCAAACGCGCTCTGTCTCAGTCCCTGGGATGATGTCCACATGCCTTGCTTGGGCTTTTGGCTTTGTGTGGGGCGTTGTTGCCTTTATCAGCGCCGGGCGATCAACGATCTGAGCATCAACATCGGACTCCACTTGCCTCTGCTGCAGATGCTTATCAAAATGTGCCTCGCGTGATAAAAAAGAAAAAAAAAAAAGTTCGCATGAAACGCGCTCCACACTTGAAAATGGAAATGGGTGTTAACGCAGCAACTTTTCAGCTGTCCCCGCGGCTTGCGTGTAAGAATTTTCTGCGAATTCGCTGAGATTTTAATCGGTTAGATGTCTGGAGCTTGAGCTGGAGCTGGACCTGCGGTCGAAGAACGGGGCTGGTCGTGGCCGTGGCCGACACTTTCGCTGTAAATTTTCCAGTCACGTCGTTTCACAGTTAGCAGCTTTATTAAAACTAACGGCAAGCCAAATAATTAAAACGCAGCGCAGCAAAAAATAAAAAGAGGAATTGCAAATTGCGGGCCATGTAATAAATAGAATCATCAGCTTGGCAGTCAGCCAGCCAGGCAGCGCGGTCAGCCAGCCAGACAGTTAAAGTCAGGGTCTGGGTCTGTGGCTGTCTTACTGCCATCATGATCATCATCATCTTCACTAACAACATCATAATTAACATCATAATCAACATCGTCAGCAGCTGTAGCCGAAGTAGCAGCAGCATCATCATTTTTGAACTTTTGTGGAGAGTATATTATTTGCCTCGCGAGATGTGTAACTCATAGGAGACTTCTTCGGCCCCAAAAAGTATGTATATTCATGATCAGTATCAATAGCCTAGTCAATATAGAGTCTGTCTGTTTCTATGTAAACATATTGCAAGCAATACATGTATAGGAATCAGCTGGATCTCTATCATGTATCATATAGCTTTTATCGAAATGAACAGTCATAAATGTAGAGGGTATTATAGTTATATTTCGCAAAGACTGAGACATCTCCGACCCCATAAAGTATATATATTCTTGATCAGTATCAACAGCCGAGTCGATATAGTCATGTCCGTCTGTCTGTTTCTATGCGAACTAGCTTATCAATTTTAAAGCTATCGTTGGAAGTCCAAATTAGGTATTTATAATGCTATTCTATGCTTACTAACGATCGGTTTTTATATTATATTGTTTAGCCTAGCGCCCATTGAGCTTGGTGGTCAGCCGCTCGGCAGCTGCCCCCTCTGGGTCCAGCTGTCCTCGCTGGGCTGATGTTGAAATCGACGTGAGTGTAAAAGGAATCGAAGGGAATATGCATTAGCATTAACTTTTGTTTTTGTAGAATATGTACTCTGGGGTGCTTGGATTATCAGCTGGAATGCCGTCACGTTAAGCGTCGTCGTCGCCCCAGCGCTAAACAAGTGCATTTGCAATTTGACTGCCTTGTCCCTGCCCGTCAAGATCCCTGCCTAAACAACTCGAGTTAAAGTTTGTTAAATTGAACATTACACACAAAATCCGACACACAGCCAACAAACGGAAATGTTCAAATTAATACATCTATCTTGGCCTAATAGGAGTCTGCGCCACCAATAGGCCGTGTTTTTGCCTTATGATTACATAGAAGACCTACAACATCAATCATCAACAATCAATCATCAAAAATGCATTTATTCATCCCACACTTATTCATCACATTAATCAGTCTTCATCTGAGCTACCATCTAAGGACCGTCATGATAGTAGTTGCTCCTCGAACTCATTCACAACATCTTGGTGTCGATCTTTCGGCAGTGTCTGCACACAGTATTCGACAAATGTGACCACGTACAGCGGCCTCTCGCCACTGTAGAAGCCAGTGGCCTTGTTGGTAACGTGATTAGCCTGGCCAACGCTCCAGCTGCGTGAAACAGGCGCACTGCCAGGGATTGCCCTCAGGGATTGGCCACATGCTTTAAGTTGGCAAGCGTACCATTTAGATTCGGCAGGAAGGTTAGCTTGTTGTTAATGAGTAACTCCACGATGCTGCTCAGGCTCTCCAGCACAGTGGATGGATCGCCCAGCGACAGGTATTCCACAATAGAGCAGCGAGGAGAAGGCCAGCGCATGCAGACGCTTCAGACTGTTGGCGCTCAGATTGAGTTTGCGCAGGCGCGACATTGCCCTGCTGCCATATGCCTTCCTCGTCCAGAGACTCGAGGTTGCTGTGCGACAAGTTCAGTGTGTCCAGATACTCAAGCTGCAAAGCTGTCTGGCTTGATCTCGACTGCAAATACAGCTTGCGTAGCGTCCCCCAAAGTGTCCAGCACTCAGGCTAGCGATGCTATTGTGAAATATATGTCCAGCAATTGGAGCTTACCCAGCATTCGGTTTTGATTATCATGGAGTTATTGCCGGTCAAAACCAATTGCTGCAGCGCAATCGATTGTCCCACAGCTGCGATAAACACCTGTGGACGTAGTGCATACGAGTGATTTTAGGAGCGTAGCTGCCTCAACGGCTTAAAAGTGTCCCTACCAATGGTCTAAAGCGAATTCTCACCCAGGTGCAGGTCCTGCAATACAGGTATGAAATTATTTATAATGGGATTTACGGGTGAAGCCTTTATTAATTATCTATAGCCAAACGAGTTTGTCAGAATTATTTATTGACTGACTTATTGGTAAGGGCTAGGCCGTTGAAATATTTATAGTAGCCCTATGGGTTGAAACGGAGAAAACTGGAATCAAAATCTGAAATATTATTCAAATTATAACATTTCGAAATGTGTAGCATAGAAGACATTTTCGACCCCATAAAGTACTTGTATTCTTGATCAGTATCAATTGTAAAGCGTCTGTCCGTTTTTATGTAAACTACTGGAAGCATTATATATGTAGGAAACTGTACATAGCTCCTATAGGAATGAACGATCCGAAAACGTTTTCGATTATTTCTTGACAAAATTGGGTTCCAATAAGTTTAGGTATAATCCCAACCTGATAAAATCCTAACATCGGAGCTATATACCGTGTATTATATCTGTCATAGAAACGATCGGTCGAAATTAAATTATTGTATGATAGACTTTGTTGCTTTTTATGATATCTTTACCAAATTTGGTGCTTATTATTTACATTATGCCCCTTACGTATCAGAAAAATCTTAACGACATCGGAATACTATAATCATATAGCTGCCATAGGAAATATTGCTAAAAAATTACGATTTTGTTTGAAAAACTGCTGTTTTGCAATGTCTTGACGATGCTTTCTATATATTAGCGATATCTTATTATTGTCGAAATACTATATCATATAGCTCTATAGGAAGATTCGGATGAAATTTAGTTTCTTTCTGAGATATAAGATGTTTTTCGAGATATATTGACCAACTAATTGCGAGTTCTGTAGAATATTGAATATCTTTATCTAAAGTAAAAAAAGTCTGAGAAAATCAGTTAACAAAAGGATTATCAAACGTTATTACAATTGGAAAGTGGCGAACCAAAGCCCAGTGTTAACTGCTATTATGATGAGCTGCAGGAATCGGAGCGTAAGACATGAAGTTATCAATTCGCTCTGCTTTGTTTACACTATAGTCGGGTGCCTATTTCGTGCCAGCTCAGCTGCTGGGGCCATGGACCAGTTGTAGGGTCTTCTGCAGCAGCAAGAAGAAAACTGTCTGCAACCGCATAATTGCCGACCGCCAGAAGAAGGAGAAGAAGAAGCTGATGAGGGGAGAAGCGGAATGACACAGTTGCGTCCAAACCTCAGCTGGGGCTCGCTGTCAGCAGTCTGTCGTGGCCAGTTAAATGTACTTATCTACCTTATATGTGAGCTCGCATGCGTGGCTTTAGCTGTGCGTCGACTGGGCTGACCCCATTCAATGTCATTAACTCGGCCCAAGGTCTGTTTGTTTTGGCTTGGCCCCAGAGCTCGCAATTTTCGCATAATTGACTGAAAATTATGAATTGTGACGAGGGCTTTTGTGGCAAAGTCGTCGCCCACTGAACTCATTTGAACTCCACACACACAGCTTGTCAGCAGCTCGTCCGTGTCCAGCTGTTGCCAATTTCTGGCGTTCGCCCGGCGGCGTTGACGGCGATGTCTTCATGCGATCTGCGATCTGTGGTCCTCAACGACAAACCTCAACTGTAAACGTTTCAGTCGCTTAGTCAACAATCTGTTGCATCTAATTGTCTTTTGCAACAAATTACTCAATTCCGTGTTGCCGAGATGCTGCGATAGCAGATGCAGATCTGACTTTAGATCAGACTACAGATCAACTCTCTATCTCGCTTTCTGTCCCTCCTCTCTCTCTCTCGCGTTCTCTCTCGCTCTCTTTCAACAGGTTTGACATAATTTTCACTTTAGTTTGTTTTGAACAGCGCAAATTGGACTGAGGCATGATCACGATGATGCGTTGAGTAACTCAATCGCAATCTCTTAGTTTACGGCTCCGTTTTTATCTGCGTCTTTAGAAACATGCACTTTAGTGGGCGTGGCGCACTTCCGCAAGCAATTTGCTGCGGTTCTTGGGCGGCGGGCATAATGGAGCATTTTAATGCTGAAACCGATGATTAAAATCAGAGCCATAAAAAAGGCTAGTAGTGTGCCGTTGCCGACTGCTCGACGAGGAGGTACCCTAGGGTTGTACAAAACTTGGAAATAAAAAAAATCCCTATTTGAAATTATGAAAATCGCATAGAAAGGGGGTTCATATGAAAGTATGAAAGAAAAAATGGATAAGAGAGAGAACTGATAATATTACAAATGCCAAAGAGTGAATGAAAATGTGGCAGAGATCAACTGAAGGAGAAAAAGGGATTCATATATCTACAAGCGGAGTTTACAAAAACTACAGGGTATAACAAAGAGCCAGCGCGGGCTGACTCCGCCACTTGGAGATGTCGAGAACGCAGTCGCAGTTGAAGCCGCAATTGCAGTTGCAACTTGCCAGATAAGTACGTTGATCAGTCGCACAGATCATCAACACGAACATGCCTCAGAAACGAGCAACGTGCAACAAGCGACAGAGACACGTCAGCAACGGGCCATAAAAACGGGAGCAGCATGCAACATAATTGAAAGCAATTTGCGGCTGACTGACTGGCCCAAGGAGTGGAAGGGTTGGGCCACAGAGTGAGGTTGCCTTTGAGGTGGGGACTGCTGCTGTGGCCGGGTGATGAGCAGCCGGCAACGCGAGCGTCAGCATAAACATTACATTGATTGCCCCACACACACACACACACACACACACAAACACACTCTCTCGCACACGTGTTGTTTGTCAATGCAATTGGCGCTTCTTCTTCTGGCTGCCCCTCATCAAGTGAAGGGGGTTCGTGCGGGCTGTGCCACATGCGAGCGAACGGAAGTCGCTCAGTTCCGGCAAACGGCAGCCGTTGCCGTTGATCATCTGCACCTGAAACACATTTGATGCAGCCAGTTTCCCCTGCAGCCCCTGCACTCCGCCTCCCAATTGCAGTTACGCAATTGTGCAATGCCTTTGATTTGTGTTTCTCTGGTTCTTTTACCACTCGACTCGTAATTGCAAACAGCTGAGCCACATGTGCCACAAGTCGAATTCGACTGATCGATCAACAAAAAGACTAAAAATTGGGCAAGTTTGCCAAGTGGCAAGGGGGGGCAGAGTCAATGATCATTAGCATAGCTTTGAGCATATTTGAGATGTGGTTCGCAGAATTCAGTGAGGATTTCTGAAATAGTGTGTTGACACACCAGTTGTGCTTTCAATCAACCCAATCAGAGTCCAATCAAAGTTACAAAAAACAAAAACAGATGTAATATAAGTGCCAGTACACACAGAATTAGATTGGGTTTAAAATAACTTGCGTTCCATGTACCCTATACCAGGAATTTCTGGAAAAAAGCTTATCAAAAATTTGATTCGTGCAGTTTAATGAAACATGCGCACTTTCAGTCTACATTCGCTTAAGTTTGGTTGGCAGACTTTATCGAATGCATTTGAAGGCTAACTCCCAGGGGTCATTTCGCTTGAGCCAAGCTTCGTTGGGCAGCAGCTGAGCAATCTGCTCTGACATGGGGTCTGGCCTCCGATATATATGTATATATATACCCTATACGCGTATTGCACACACAGCTGAATCATGTTGTGTGCAATGTATAAAGCAACTTCCTACAGCTGTTGAAACTCAGGCACAGCCGGCCAAGTGCGTTGGGTATATTTTGCCGCTGCCGCTGCCGCCGTTGTTGTTGTTGTTGCACAAACAATGAATGAAACGCGTTGTTGTTGTTGCTGTTGAAGTTTATCAAGTTGAAATTGCACAGTTGGTTGACTGCTGCCACAACAAACCGAAAGAGCACTAAAAAGAAAAGCACTCGACTTATAGTTGGGGTTTATTATGGGACCTAACCCATTTGCCAGATGCTTTTCCCTCATTCAATAGAACCTTATGAAACTTGAGCTTATAAATCTGAATAAAGTGTTTATATTTTCTTAGTTTTTGTGTCTGTCCCATTTGTTGTTTCCGTTTCCGATTGATTATGTTTATTCGCACTCCTTGGTTTACGCGTGGTGCTCCAGGTGGTGGGCTCCACAGCCATTTGTCAACCCTGAGTTGCATGTTTCACTGTCAGACACTGGCAACGCACAAGGCAAACAAGCGGCGCAGAGTGGGCGCGGCTGCGCAGTCGGGGCAGCGGACCGGCTGGTGGCAGCTGTTGTTGTTTATAGCAAATCGCTCATACGCCTCGTTGTGCGGCCAAGCGTTGCAAATAGTTCGTCATGACTAAACGAGTGTGTGTGTGTGTGTGATTGCGTGTGTGTGTTTGTGTGATCATTCAGCGCACCCACACAACAACAATTCAAGTGCAGCGCTCATCAATAAAGTGAAATTTTGTTGATTTTGCCGACTGGCGGTTGCTTTTGGGGCGTGCAGCCTTGCGATTGTTGTTGTGCTTTGATGGACACATGCACGGGGCATATGCTACACACACACACACACACTCGCACACATATGTGTATATCTGTGTGAGTATTGTATGAACGACAAGCAGCCAAGGCAGCAGCTGAGGCAGCTACCGGACGCACGTGTTCATTTTCATTTGGCGCAGAGAACCCAACGATAAACAGCCGCAGTCGCAGTCAAAGCAACAACAACAACAACAGCAGCAGCAGCTGTACAACAGAATCTTTGTAGACGCTGACGGAGACAGAGACGACGCTGATGACGACCAACTGCGGAAATTGTTCATTCAAGCGCTGCTGTTGCTGCTGCTACTTGGCTTGGCTTGGCTGCTTCTGCCTGCCATAGCAAAGAGACGCAGCAGAAGCGTAGCATGTATATATAAAGGCAACAATTTGAAATTCATACAAATTGCAAGCGGCCAACGGAACAAGACAATAGCCGCAGCAGTTGCCACATGCGGGGGCAGCATTTGGAGCCACCCAAGCAGCGCCAACATGTCCGGCAACAGCAATAATAATAAAAACAACAGCAACCATAATAACAATAACAACAACAATAGCTGTCCATCAAAATGGCAGCGAAGCGCAACAAGCCCCAAAATGTACTTTTTTTTTTGTTTTGTTCAGCTTTGGTTTGATTTCATTTGCCTGGCAAATGCCAAAATAATTGTCTCACATTGCATAATCCGAGTAGGAAAAAATAGTGAGGCCCAAACAATGGCCGAAATGAAAGCTCAGCTTTCACCCCGTCATTTGGCTGGGGCTCAAAGCTATGGCTGAATCCATCAGCAACTGCGGATCAGAGACAATAAAACAAAAGACGCCACAAAAGCTGAAAAAACTGAAACAAAAACCTCAGAAAATAACCAAAAAACAAGAAAGAATTGCTATTTAGGGAGCGCCGACGATTAAATACACTAACTGACGTTTAAAAGTGATGTGATTTTAAACAAATGCTTGATTTCCGAGTAATTGTTCCATTTAATATATTGGTTCGATATGTTAAGGTTTAGTGAAGCTCGCAATTCCTTGAATATCTTGAAAAATAGAAAGTTTCTTCCATCTATATCAGACTTAGACCATTTCTTGCTATATAGCTATATGATATAGAGGTTTTTTGCATATGAAAAAG